CAGGTGCGTGCGCATTATGTCCTCTCTTATTACTTTTGTTTTGTTCTGCTGCTATTGTTATTCTTTTTTTTTGGTCTTCTAAACTTGTCTTACTTCGTTGTGGTTTCTGTGAATATATGTATTTATGTGCTGCCATCCTGCATGGACCCAATTAAGGTCTGCAGTATTGTGTAAGTAAATAAAAAATAAATAAAAAATAAATACAGCATGTATACAAGCAGAACTGAAAATATTTTTGGGGGGTGGGTTGGGGGGGAGGGCTTTGAACATTTCCGCCTCCTCTCCTGGCTAGGCCCGTCATGATAGGTGTTTTTAAGGTCAACTTCTTCATAAAGACCAAAAAGATTGTTCATAGTAAAAACTCGATTCACACACAGTTCTGTCAGTCAATATGGTAAATAGCACTAGAAGCGAAAGTTTGGACGAGTTGGAGGTTCAGGTTCACGCTTGGATGTAAAAGCCGCGCGAAAATATAGACGAAACCTTCCGAGGAGACGACACAGTGCTGTGTCGTCTTTTCAAAACCAGTCTTGGTCTACATTTTCGCGCTGTTTTCACATCCAAGTACATCCAATCGAGAAATGGGGAAATTTTTCGTTATACTGAAGTTGAGAAAAGGTATAACTTCAATAGAGGAAGAAATAAACTACCGGAGAGAGCACATCCTTTCGGTCTTAATTAAAGGTGCTGCCTACCCTCCGTCACTGCTTTTTTTGTTTTGTGTCGCAATAAAAAGCGTACCGTCTGAAGTGTCTAACTTTGCAGCGGTTTCTCTGGAAGGTGGGTAGAAATTTTTATAACAGAATTTTTCGGATACCCATTACACTGGTCGGTGGAGGTGATGACAACTGTACTGCTGGGGAAAGCCGGAAACTGAAACCGCGTGCAGTTTTTGCAGGCTTTAGCAAGTTTGGTTATTATTGAAACAAATGCCTTAATGGTCGTGTAATGCGCGCACACACACTTTTTTGTTTTTGTTTTTATGAGCGGCGGTGGACGCCGTACTCGCGCTTCTCCGTCGTTGGCCGGCAGACATGCACGCCAGCAATGGAGGGGTAGATGGATCTATCCGGCTGTGCCCTTTATATCGGGCGGTGGCTCGCGCCCCCTAGCCATAGAGCCAAGTACTATCGCTATGTGTTTAAGGATTGAATTGCACTCGTGCCTTGATTGTAGCCACCAATCAGTTAGCCTCCTCCTAGTTATTTCTACCGGTTTGAAGTCTATTTTGCCTTCACTGTCCCCAAGCCCAAATGATTTCGAAAATTCCGCACCATTATCTTGGACTATAGGGTGGAGCTCTTTACACAACATTATCGAATGTTCAGCTGTTTCCTCCGCCTCTCCACACGCACTACACACCATGTTTGTGCCTTCGTATTTGGCTCGACTCGCTCGCTGGATTCCGTGCTGACTGGTTGTGCCCTCGCGATCTCCAACGTACAGCGTAGCTATGGCCGACTAGGCTGGCCCTACGTCATCTCCTGACGCCGATCGCCGACGACCGCGTAGCTCTGACCAACTGGACTTGCTCTACGCCATCTACTCGACGCCGACAAGAGCTCTCGCAAGTGGTTCCCCGTGCTCGGACTCCTGTGACCGTGTTTCCATCTTTCCTGTCTCTCATATCCCCTCGATATGTCCTCGCTCGCTGGCTTAGCGCATCTTTCTCTCTCTCTCTGTACCTTTAATCCTGTTCTTTTAATCCCTCCTCACCCCCATCCCCTGTGAGCTACTGTTGAGGTGTCGCACCGTGATGCAGACAGTTACTGGGCTCACTTTTCTCTCCTTTATAACCACTTTGTATTTGGCTCGGTAATGTCTTGGTCCGCAATACTCCCTTTCTGGCCTCGAGCAGCAGAGAACTATCCCGAGAATTATTGTAGATATTTTCTTTTGCGATTTTCTGCTTGAAAGTTCGGTAGGTCTCCAGTGATGATTCCGTAAGTTTCCAATCTTCCACATGTCCCTCTCTGTTTCCTTCACCTTCTTCTTAACCGATGTTTACTTTTGGCTTGGTATTCTGCTGTTGTCTAAATACTTGCTTGGCAATTTTCGAGCTCGCTTCTTCAATTTAGTATCAACATTTTTCATGTACAAGTAGCTGAAAACTTTCCTAGCCCAACGCTCCTCTCCCATTTTTCTCAATCACTCCTCAAATTCTAACGTGCTGTTAGCTTCCCTGCACTCAAACAATGTCCATCCCATGTCACCCTGTATACCCTCTGATTTGGGATATTCCCGTGTGCTCCCAAATCAACTCTACCTATGCCACGTGGTTTAATTTCCAATCTTGCTTGAACCTCTGATTTCATGCACAAGACCGCATTGCAGAACGTCAAACCCTGGACCATGATACCTTTCCGAATCCCTCTCACAACGTCATACCTATTGTAGTTCCACAGTGCCCTATTTTTCATTACAGTTGCATTCATGTTACCCTTAGTCATTGCGTATCTTTCGTGCTCCCTTAGGTAGCCAGCCCCGTTATTTATTCGTATGCCCAAATATTTGTATGTATCCACTATTTCTAGCGTGACTTCCTATATCTTATGCTCACTGCCTTTGTTACCATTAAAAATAATGATTGCCGATTTTTCCCTGCAGAACTTTAAATTTAACCTATTCTCTCTCATTACCACAGATGTCTATCAATCCTTGCAGATTTTCCTTGTTGTCGGCTATTAATGCTATCTCATCTGCATACATGCAAACACACCACCGGCAGCGCCACCACGCGCCTCTTTCAACGCCGGAAAAATCAAAAACAAAAAAACTAAAACTAAAGCTTAGTTTTTCGTGCAGCTTATAAAACTGCTTCAAGCGCGCAAAATACAATTTCAGGCTATACATATGTTTGTTTCTAAGTAAAAAAAATCTACCTTAGCGGATTTTCTGTCCTGCCAATAGATTGACCACATAACTTTTGGGTGACGCTAGCGGTCATTTTTTTGTCGACTTTCAGCATCAAGTTAATATATAATCCTTTATTTTTTTCTTGGGACAAAAGCATGCTCGTTGCCATCGATGTGATGAATTATGTTCACATTTGCACTACAATCAGAATTTTTTTCCGGGTAGTAGACAGTCCCTTTAGGAGCCTTAGCAAAGTTCTTTCTCCTCATAACCAATTCAGTACCCCTTTCCCCAGGCCAAGGTATCGAGCAAATCTGAGAAATGGCTAAACCCCCCATTTATGATGATGATGATTAAGCTTCTAATTGATTTATATGCGGGGTTCAACGTCCCAAAACCACCATATGAACATGAGAGACGCCGTATTGGAGGGCTGCGGAAATTCCGACCACTTGGGGTTCTTTAACGTGCACCCAAATCTGAGCACATGGGCCTACAACACTTCCGCCTCCATGGGAAATGCAGCAGCCGCAGCCGGGATTCGATCCCGTGACCTGCGGATTAGCAGCCGAGTTCCTTAGCCACTAGACCACCGCGGCGGGGTAGTGATTGTGCTTTTAACATGGCTCATACCCACTCTGGAGGATCCGCCAAGAATTTTCAGACAATTCAAATAATAAATATTTGTAAGAAAATAAAGAAAAACGTACTTGTTAAGAGAAAATACAATGTTTTTTAAGCATTCATATGAGACAATATAGTCATTATCTTGAATATAAATTGCAGTAATTGCAGTAATTTATACAATATTCAAGAAGTTTTCAAGTATGGAAAAAATCATTCGAATTTCCGCTTCTTTTTAGCTCCCTCGCGAAGCAGCGCTGCTATTTTCGAGCTTATTGCATGGTGATTATTCACTGTCTTCGGCGCATGCGCGGATAAGCTAAGTTAAACCCAGGCGGTGCGCAGCTGTGGCTTGTTTATTGCTGGGCAGCGGCGCAGAGGGTTTCTCGCGGATGGTGGACGTAAACATCGAGCGTAAAGGGGCATGGGAAGGATGCACGTAGCGTGTAGGAAAGATAAACCGCTGGTCAATAAGAGACTTGATTCCAAGACAAGACGATCACGTGAGTTGTAGACAGGAGGTTAGGTGGGCAGACGAGACTAACAAGTTTGCGGGTATAACTTCCTCGCATCAAACACATGATTGGGTTCAGGGACGAAGCATGGGAGGGGCCTTCGCCCTGCAGTGGGCGGGCTGATGACGACGCTGCAGGCTGATGACGACGACAGATGCCAGAGCCAGGGTCTACAGCAACGCGCTATACTAGTGACGCCATACGTGACGTTACCGCTCACGTGACCCCGAGCTGACTCGACCGCGAGCCGTCACCTCAGCTCCCATGACCCCGAGCTGTTGGCACGAAAATGGACTCTTCCAAATGGAATAATACGGACTAGAGCTGGCTGTAACGTTTGCAGTGTCTCTAAATGGTGGCGAACGTCATAAAATGTTGCATAATCGCGGCTGATTAATTAATGACACCTGCTAATAATGGTGCCTAAGTCTCGGTTGATGATCTGTGACGCAGCCTAGTGTTAGCGCACGCGCGTCGCATGATGCAATTCGAAGTAATGCCCATCAGCTTGGGAGTACAGTTTCGGGCCACAAAAAAGGTCGAAGAAGGTGGCCACCAAGTTGAGCCTGGCAGATCGCCTACCCCCATAAAGACTGACGACAAAAAAGTTACGTTCTCTCTATCTCTCTCTTTGTCTCGAGCTGATGATCTGACAAATCACGCCTAGGTGATTAACGTTTCACTTTATTTTCCTTTCTGACGAAGAAGGTGGCCACCTAATTCAGCCAGGCAAACCGTCTACCACCATAAGGTCTGACGACAATAAAGTTATCTTCTCTCTATCTCTTTCTTTGTCTCGAGCTGATGATCTGACAAATCACGCCTAGGTGATTTACGTTTCACATTATTTTTCTTTCTGACGTGATACGTTCTCATGATCGACCTACCTCCAGCCCGAACACCGTGAAGGAGCCAAAGATGCTCATCTGGTGCGCAGAGGCTTCGCTGAAGCCTCCCAGGATGACCACTTCTTCGTACCACACGGGGTCGCTCGCATCGGCTAGCTGTTGCCGGTCGACGGTCGGTGAGAACAGCGTGAACGACACGTCGCTTTCCTGTGTCCCGGGAAAATCACGAGGGCTTATCTGTAGATATATTCGCTTTCGACACGCACGACCGTGTTCAGGCCCGATTTCAGCGCGGACGAAGAATAGCTGGACTTACGTTCCTCTGAAGTTCTCCGAGGAAGCCCGTCCAGGAGCCGTTCGGCAGTCGGTTTCCCCAAACATTGACTGGGTTTACAGTGGTCCGGTAACTGCATTACCACACGTTTGTGGCGTCAGTGACAGACAGACAGACAGACAGACAGACAGACAGACAGACAGACAGACAGACAGACAGACAGACAGACAGACAGACAGACAGACAGACAGACAGACAGACAGACAGAAAGACAGACAGACAGACAGATAGACAGATAGATAGATAGATAGATAGATAGATAGATAGATAGATAGATAGATAGATAGACGATTATTATTATTATTATTATTATTAGTAGTAGTAGTAGTAGTAGTAGTAGTAGTAAGTAGTGGTAGTAGTAGTAGTAGTAGTAGTAGTAGGGTTTTGCGGTGCAAGGGCCATGGGTGGCCAAAGAGCGCCATCCAGATAGATAAAATGCAGAAATAATAATTGTTGCCGTTTAGTGTCTGGAAACCACGATAATATTGTGACGCACACTGTTGTGGGAGCTCCGGAATTTTGGACCCCGCGGGGCTCTTTAACGTGTATTTAAGCCTAAGTACCTAAGCACGTGGAGCTCGAGAGTTTTCACCATTATGACAAATGCAGCCGACGTGGCCGGGATTGGAATGCGCGACTGTCGGGTATGCAGTAGACCAGCGCGGCGGGTGTAATACCGAAAGGCAGAGAGAGGTTAACCTTAAAGTTCATATCCAGGTTTTATATCCTGCACTGCATGAAGGGTAAGTAGAGACAGACTAAAAGGTAATCATGTATGAAAGAGAGAAAGAGGGAATGAAGCAGGAGCACAGACACACAGGATGACACAATCATTCGTCGAGGTGGTTCATTCACAGACTTCAACTGCAAATTTCGCCGCTTTCTGGCGTGAAGCTCGATTCTCTCCGGCATTCCAAGATTAACTACTCACGAAGCGACCGGCAGTTGACATCAGAATATCGCTATGACACTATTCTCTCAAAAACATTTTAAAATTTTTTGTTGCTTTCTCAATTGACACATGCAGAAATCAAGGGCGTGTCAATTTTCTAGCTCCGCTGTCACGTGACGTATCCAGCTATAGCTTGCTAGGAAGTTTATGAAAGGAAACAACTGCACCCCCCCCCCCCCACGATTTTATGGTGTAATGTTACACTTTATGGAATAAAGGGCCTTTTATGTGGGACTGCTGAGATGCCTCGTACGTTACTCCCTTTAAAAAGACTCGTTAACTCTCTATGGGGTTTTGAGTGCACGTTAAAGAACCCTAAGTGGTCGATATTTCCGGAGCCCTCCACTACGGCGTCTCTCATAATCATATCGTGGTTTTGGAACGTTAAACTCGACATATCAATCAACTCTCTATGGGGTACCATGACTCTCCAAAGAGAGTAAAATTTCCAGATATTTCCCCGTCCCCTTGAAGAGAGTAATACGCGGCGTGTTGGAACTCATCGGGTAGACGACGGTGACAATTCGGGCTCGTTGCTATAGTTGCATGGTAAGTGATGGTAGCGCAGAACAAGGACACGAACACACGAAGGCACATCGAGGACACCACAGTGCTACTGTCATTTTCAATGCGCCTAGTTGTGTCCGTGTTCTTAGTCTGCGACTCTGCGGCTATACCATAAATTGTCATGTCACCAGGTAGAGTAAGAACACTTTCTTTTATCTTTCTATGGCATACAAGGGCGTGTGATGAACGCCTGCAAAATACTTGAGTATGGCTTCTCGTTTCTCGAACTCATATTTTGCCGCTACGGCACAATCGAGCCGGTTGTTTTACGGATGAGCGCGCATGAAAAACATACCTGATGTTCGAATCCCGAGCTGTGTCCCAGAGCACTTGAATAAGCGACGTAACGAACAAGTAGGTCCGCACCGTGCCGTTAGGATAATAGTCTGCATGGGGAAGGTGCTGTCGCCCCACATGTAGGGAAAGAAAAAAAATAAACAGAGGGAGGATGAAGGGGAAGGCAAAAGAAAGTTTGCATTACATCACACACGGGCTTTTCAATTTTTTTTTGACAACAGGCCCGTAACCAGAATTTCTATTTCTTTAAAAAAAGGGAGAGGCGAATGCACTTACTGAAGACCACTGAGTGTTTTAGGAAAATGCTTCATTTCGTTACTTATTTTCAGTAAAACACCCCCTCGCATCTTAATGTCAGGAGAGGGAAGGGAAGGAGGACTCGGGCACCTTCCTTGGTTACGAGCCTAATTGACAAGCTTGACTCACCGGGCGATTCCGTAGTCAGCGTGCGCTAAAAGCTCATATAAAGACGACGTGTTACGTGACGCCACGTGGCATAGAAGCTTTACACGTTCGCCGTCATGGCTCCGATAGGCGCTGGCTAACACGCCATAGTTTATGCGAACATAAATGCCCACTGAAATCGAGGGGACGACAACCGCTGATGCAGCTTAATCGATAGAGCATCGTAGGTTTTACTCGAGGAAAGCAGTTCCGGTATATTTTTCACTTTAATTTCGTCGCATTCATATCGAAATCACTGTAATACATTCAAGACTACAGATAATGTACTTTATACTTTCTAAACTTTTTTTAGCTTCTTTGTCTTGTGGTTTGATTTGGTTGTGCATGACAAGGAAAGCAAGCGCTTACTTTTTATGCCTACCTATTCTTGCACGTCAGAATCGGGATCGAACCCATAACCTTACGGTTAGCAGACAGGCACGGTAACTACTTTACTACCAGGATTGATGGATTTAGTGTTAATTTGGATTTAGTGTTTGGATTGAGTGAAATGAGGATTTAGTGTTAATTTAGCCTCAAGATATTGAAAATTCGATGAATAACCATAGTCTCTCGTCTATCTTTTCATATACCGCAATCGTCATCCTGTTGTACGCAATCCTAAAGTGGCGCCTTTTAAAACTTCAGTGTAAGAATTACACTTTGACATGTATTTCTCGAATATAAATGCGTACTAACCACTTACGTGCATTGCCGTGATCCGCAGGATTGGACCATTATTGCTAGACATCGTTGATTGTTTTTTTCACGCAGCCGAGGAGAGTAGTATGTACCACATATCAATAAATCGCGAACACTAAGTAACGCTCCACGTAGTCGCCGATCTCACGTTACGTCCGAAGCGGTCGTATAATCACCACCTCTTTTTTTGACAGAAGGATAACCACGTCTACGCATGCGTCATGGCTTCTTCCCAATGGAGGTTCGAGTTGTTACGCCAATAGATGCCGAGCCCTCGAATGACGTTGGTGGAAAAGAGACCAATGGCTGGTCTTCCCCCGCTCCTACTGAATGGCGCTTCAGCTTCTGCATAGTTTGAACACCACCAAGAGCGGGCAGGCGAGCAGCACGCTCAGGTAGTTGGCTTGTTTGCGCATGTCAATCGAAGTTGACCGAATGCTTCCCTCTGCACGTGCGCTGGCGAGCAAACAATGTCCTGTCCACACCGCAACTAAAGCTTCAAGCTCATAAGTTCGATACAGTAGAGAAGATGCATGATCATTCATGCACATTGATTTATCATCAGTGCACGCATTTGTTCATGCACGCACTTGAGTAGGCGTACAGGGGATCAAAATTAATCGGTAGCTCGCCATGACGGCGTGTCACGTAACCACAATGTCACAACCTTCCGTAGCGTGTCACAACCATTCACATAGAACTTCCAGGATGCATACGTAACGCACACGGCCTTTCATTTTGACGTTCCGAGGTTTCGCTCTTCCATTTCCTGTTTTCGAGAAGGCGGGAGAGGAGGGCTTCTTTAGGCGTATTGCTACCTGTGAAATACAAACGATGGAGCGTTGCGTTACGTCGAGGCCTACGCAACGGGGCACAGAAAGAGAGACGATAGGTGTAACATTAACGGACAATAAGAGAGCAGAGTGGGTCCGGGAACAAATCGGATTTACGTATATCCTGGTCGAAATGAAGAAGAACATATGCACATGCGCGGGGCGTGTGTTGCGTGAAGGCAAGCTAATTGCTGCTCATTTTTTTTTATTGATATGATATATAAGGAGATGTTGGCGCACCATTATGGCGCCGGCTACTCCATAGCCGTTGATTGAAACTTGAACACGTATCTTGAAGCAAAACATACAAAGCAGTGCATGGAAAATAGAAAACTCGGGCACAGATATGCAAACACACACTTATACGCACATATCGCAATGGTAAGTAAATGTTCGAAAGTCAATGTAAGAAGTCTCTGGAAATGTCCCTCGCTAATATTCGGTCCACCAGCACAAAACAGCAATGCACACGTCTGGCCCTTATAAAGATGTATTCGCTCGTATGTACATAATAGTCGACACGTCATTCATTTCACATCACACACGTGATGGGTGTCACATGATACTGTACATAATAAGTATATGTGTTACAAATGAAAGTTTGTTCTTTGTTAATACTTGTCAGCAATCCCGCTGTCTTGTAAAAAAACGTGTTAATGCTTTTAAAGCGTGGGACTGTGAAACTCCAGTTGGCCACGGGCCCAGAAGTTTTTTCATGCTAAATGGTCTGTGGTCCAATGCGAACAGTTCGGACTTAAGACGGCGTCTCGGCGTGTCATGATGTGGACAGTCTATGAGAAGGTGACAGACGTCTTCATCTATAAATCCACATTCGCATTCGGGAGTTTCAGCTCTGCCGATTCTGCGCAAAAAACGTTTTGTGTATGCGGTGCCTAGCCTCAATCGGTGGATTAGAGTTTCCATCCTTCTATCTAATGCCAGCGTAATATTGAATTCAATAAATGGATCGATGTGATATAAATCGCATCTCTTTGTACTTTGGTCAAACCAAGCAGTTTTGCTCATTCTGAAAGTTGTATTCTTTATAATACTACGCAATTCATTTTTGCTGCTCATGAAGAGTAACTGCACGGATTTCCAAAAGAAGGCAAGCGCGCGAGGGCGAGGCAGAAAGTTGGGTGGACAAGACCGCAGCGAGCACAGTACCGGGTTGATTGGCGAAACATGAGAGGGGCCTTGACACGCCCGGGCTGTACTTACGCCCGGTCACATCGTCGCCATATTGGTTTTCGAGTGTGTCGTGCAGCCGTGGCAAGCTATGTAACATGGCCGCGTTTACTTTATAGGAGCACCTTTTCCGACCCATAAAAATTTTTTTTTGTGTGGATACATGCATGTTACGGTGCAAGTTTTAGTATATTTTTATTTCTCCCAAAATATATGTCTCAGGAGGGTTGAGGTCGTGGTCATCATTTCAGAATGACAACTGCTTTCGTCATGTGACAGTGTGCAGGTAAAATGACATTAGGTCCGCTTAATTTCATTCATTATAGATGGCATTGGATTCTCCGTTGTCAAAGGCGTATTACACTATAGACTCGGCCAACGGAGGGGGGGGGGGGTTGAACCTGACCTTCTCTACCCCATCGTTTGCAACACCTGCCCTGATTATCTAGTGGCTAAGGCACCCGACTGCTGACTCGCAGGTCGCGGGATCAAATCCCGGCCGCGGCGGCGGCATTTTCGATGAAGGTGAAAATACTTGAGGAACGTGCGCTTAGGTATAGGTGCACGTCAAAGAACCCCAGTTGATCAAAATTTTTGCAGCCCTCTTCTACAGTGTCTCTCATATTTATGTGGTAAGTTTGGAGCGTTAAAACCATGTATATTATTATTATTATTATTATTATTATTATTATTATTATTATTATTATTATTATTATTATTATTATTATTATTATTATTATTATTATTATTATTATTATTATTAGTAGTAGTAGTAGTAGTAGTAGTAGTAGTAGTAGTAGTAGTAGTAGTACTAGTAGTAGTAGTTTCCACAAGATCCCTCTGCCCGCATATGGTTTGTCGAAAAAGAGACTAAAAGGGCATTCGAGAAATGGGGAAAAGCTTTGCACACCGTTCTGTGTATGACCATTTGTACATACTAGCAAACACATACACCAACATGTCAGTGGGGTCAGATAGAGCATATGTAAGATGTGTAAGTAGAGTCGTCGGTACGCAGAAAGACTTTGATCGAGTGGAAGCAGAATTAACATGGAGTCTGGCGTTCATCTGTCATACGAGTTTGCACACGGACCTCCCACCTTCCGTGCTTCTATTTATTGTGTTTCGTGAAGAGTGTAATATAGCGCTCGACGAGTAGTTTACACACACAAAAAAGAAAAAAAAAACGCAGTGGCTTTGAATCTAAGCGCACCAACGTAGGTGAGTACCTTCGTGTCTCAACTTGGCAGCGATTAAATGGGCCGTAGACCAGTGTCATGGACGCAGCGTACCGTTCATCAATAGTTGAAAATTTTACCTTGATTATAACAGTGCTACACCCTGATGTCTTACAGTACTGTGCTTGAGGGGTACTGGCACCCACCAATTTGTGACGCTGAATTTATACTGCTTCACACAAATATTTTGTATACAAAACCACTCCAAGGAAGTGCAAAGCCCAATAAGTATCGAAATATTTTATTTTTACATTAAAATCAATATGCGCATCACGCACCTACTGATACCGACACTATCGTTACGTCAAGGTACAGTGTCAGTTTCGGGTACCACACACCCCAGCCTGGCTAGTTGTGATGACGTCAGGGGCTAAAACATGCAATAATGCCCCTAGCGCATCACCTAGAAAATATACAACATGGTGGCGCATGGGTGTCACCAAGGAAATTATACTAAAACTTCTTGGGTGTCACCAATGGAGCTACGTAGCGGAGCGGCAGTGGTGACGTCATGATATCTGACGCAAGCACGTGATGGGAAGCTCATACCGCATCGTGGCGTTAGGGTGCAGCACAATCAGGAGTCAACTTTTAAAAATATGTTGTGAAGACCTCTCTTATGAAGCACTTGAGCTTATACCTACGTTTTCTATAGGCTCCTGGAAATTTGGTCTTTCAATGGACGCAGTTAAAA